AAGGGGCACACCGGCAGATGAAATCAATGCCTGTTTAAAAGCATCTGTGCTATGGACTCATGTGAAAAAGGTTTCACTGTCGACGAATATGCGAGTATTACTCCATAATGACTGTCAAGCCGGGCAGTATGCTGCTGCTCTTCTGAAGATCGGCGAAGATCGTATGCCTACCGACTCCGAGAGTATGATCACGCTGAGCAGCGAATTATGCCAAATTGTGGATAGCACATACAATTTAAAAAATAGTGTCTATCCGGATCTACGCGCCAATATCGAAAATCGGGAATGGTTATGCGAAAGGGCAATATTGGCGCCAACAAATGAAATAGTAGGCCGGATAAATGACCAAATTATGTCTGACATAGAGGGAGATGTCATCGAGTATCTATCAGTAGATAACGTCGTGGATACCGAGCAAGTGACATGTTACCCAACAGAGTTTCTCAACTCCTTAGAGTTATCAGGAGTGCCTTCTCACAAGTTGAGGCTGAAAGTTGGTGTTCCTGTGATGCTTATGAGAAACCTTGATCCACCAAGGCTATGTAACGGCACACGGTTACAAATAACCTATTTAGGACGGAATGTCATTAAAGCCGTTATTATGACTGGAATGGCAAAAGGCGAAACTGTAATTATTCCCCGCATTCCCATCATTCCAACTGATTTGCCATTCCAATACAAAAGAGTTCAGTTTCCGCTGAAAACTGCGTTTGCAATGACCATAAATAAAGCCCAAGGGCAAACGCTAAAAGTTGCGGGGGTACATCTTGAAAAAGACTGTTTCTCCCATGGGCAACTCTACGTTGCGTGCTCAAGAGTGTCAAAACCACAAAACCTTTACATTTTTGCAAAGGATGCCAAAACTAAAAACGTGGTATACAGAAATGTCTTGGTGTAAGAAACATTCATAATCTGTAAGCCTAAAATAATAGAAAATTTGCCAATGGGAGAAACAGTCTTTTTTTCCTTTTGAACTGAAATGACAAATCAGTAGAATGATGGGAAAATAAGGAAAAATAACATTATCGCCTTTTTCGATCGGCAATAACGGCTTTAATGCCCTAAGTGAGTATACATCTCTTAAATTGAAAGAGAGAGCTTGGTCAGAGCTCATTCTTTTGATTTTTGAAGAGTTTCCTGGGATATCTTCCACATTTCAGACTGATCAAATTTATAGGGGACCACACTGACACTTTACTCTACAAAAGAATTTCTCAAATCGGTCTATAACTTATAAGCCTAAGGCCTTAATATACATAAAAAAATACGGTCGAATTGAGAACCTCCTCCTTTTTTGAAGTGGGTTAAAAACTTTCTGCTCAAAGTAAATTTACGGACGAAGTCGCGGGCAAAACTACCCACGCTAAAAATGTGATAATAACTCTGTCTATCTGTCTTTCCGTCACGCCTAAACTACTGAACAGATTTGGATGAAATTTGGTACAGACATAGTTTGTACCAAATCAAAAATCCCGCGAGATCGGGAACTATGTGGGTAAAACCAAAAATCTGCCGGAAGTCACTATTCCACGCGAACGAAGTCGCGGGCAAAAGCTAGTTTCTTATAAGTTGAGGGTTCAATCTCTTTCTAGACAGATAAGTATTGTTCTTTAAAATACAGTCAAGTTATTGTAATTAATTTGTTTTTTTACATGTTTTAGCAAATGTAAGCTTATAAATCATAAATGTTTATTAAGAAACAGTTACTCCCATGGAAAACAACATATAGGTCAGTTGATTTTTCGAATTTCTTATCAAATCTTCAGTTATTTATTAATCTGCTTGATCTTTACTATGTCTATGTTAATTCAAGCTCACAATGTTCCAATTCTAATACGTTTTTCTAAGATTTAAAGTAAACTTTAATAAATAGTAATAGACTAATAGGTAATTGCAAGACTTGCAAGACTCTTGCTGCAAGACCAAGACCAAGACCAAGACTGGGAGCGCAAGACCAAGACCAAGACCAAGACCAGATGTATTGGCGCAAGACCAAGACCAAGACTGGCTAAGTCTCGTCTTGTTCTTGCATTTGGGCAACACTACTCTTAATATGGTAAATAAAGTAACGTAAGTAACAAAGATCTTTTGTTAGTCGGAGAAAAAGGTCCTGAACGCACTTTTACGTCCCGTCTAATATTAACAATAAAATGTGTTACCTACTGTTTGCGGACCATCAGGATAAAACCTTTTTTACGGGCGCTACTTCTAGAAGCAGACGTTTTACAATCGGGTAGTTTCCTAGGTCAAAAATAAATTAATTCGACGTTTCAATACAATAAAATATTGAAAACTAATATACCTACTTTTATTCATCGATCGATCGAAACACTAAATTTTAGATATTTTTTAGCAAATTTTTAAGAAATAAGTAAGCTATATGACGCAAAAATACTATGATTTCATAGAAAAGTATCGTTTTTGACATTTGAATAAAAGTATTGAATTTGACTAGTTGGAAACTATCGTATTCATTCACTTGCGTAGTTGTACCACAACACTGATAGCTTAAATTGACCCCTCGTCTCATATGATAACGGATGCCAAAGCAATTTGTAACGACAATCTCTTATCGCTTTCTTATTTATACTAGCTTATTCCCAGTATTTGCTCGTTACACTTCAATACTTATATTACAATTTGCTCCGTAGAATCCGAAACTACGACTCCTATTTGAAAATTACTTTTTGGTAAAAAAATAGTAAAACAAACCTTTTTTTCAGGTTTTATAAAATGTAACAGATTATGTAATCTACTATCGTACTAATATTATAAATGTGAAAATACTTTATAGCAAAAACGGCTGGACCGATTTAGTTTAAATTTGGTACTTATGTAGAAAGGGTATAACATAACATAACGGAAGCTAGTCTCGTATATGTAACTTCTGATGTAGGGGCGTTTACAGTATGTATTCTAGTCGTAATATAATTGGGTTCATTTTAGTATGAATAAACGTTATAAATGTCATCTAGAATTTTAAAGTTGACTATAAATGACAGGCAATTAGAGCTAAACTTTATCTATACTTATATTATAAAGAGGTAACGTTTTTAAGTTTGTATGTAGGGGGTAACCTTTGGAACCGCTGGTCAGATCGGCAAAATTCTTTCCCTGATAGATTGCTACAATGTTCCTGAGTACTATAGGCTATAAAAAATCACACTACGATTAAATGGAGCCAAGCAGCGGGTAAAACCGCGCGTGAAAAGCTAATTAATCTATTTATATAAAAATGGATCGCAAAATCTGTTGGTAAGCGCATAACTCGACGACGCCTGGACCAATTTAGACAATCCTTTTTTTGGTGTATTTCTTATAGTCAGGAGAAGGTTCTTATCAAAGAAAATATTATAAAAGTACGGGGGAAAATAGACCCTTTCGTTGTTAGTTAGATAGTTGGACCCGTGGAAAGCGGGGGAGGGCCGCTAGTATTATATATATTTTGTATAAACGTGAGAAGCGTGGTTAGTGAATACTGCTTTCTATAACAAGGCAGTTACAGTCGGAATTTGACTATATTGGTTGTGATGACGGGATTCGAAACACAACAATATCTGCTTATTTACATTTCGTTATCTTCTGTTGTAATTAACGTCTTTGTTTATTAAAGTAGTTAGGTAATTACCAACTAGTAATTTGTAATGTAAACATAATATGTTTGACACACGGGCATTTGACTAAGTAATACTGTCATTATACACTGCACGATTGGAAAGGCGGCTGGGCAACTGGCTGCCGAGCAACGTGTCGCGGTTTCGATTCCTGCACGGAACAACTCTTTGTATTTCTTTTATGTGATAGGTCGTCAAACGAGCATGCCGATTACCTGATGGTAAGCAATCAGCGCCGTCTATGGACACCCGAACAACAAACGAGTTAAGAGTTACGAGTGCGTTGCCAACCTTTTGGGGATTATGGAGTTGGGGAAGGATTGATTAATTTTATTACAAACGTTGCCCCTCACTAGGATATTCCCCTGTGTCGTAGGTGCGTTTACAAACATACAATTTCACATACACATCACACCCAGACCCGGAACAACAATGTTTGGATCACACAAGTGTGGGAGAGCCAAGCTTCGGCACGAATGGGTCGTCTTGACAGGAGTGATACCACGGCCTCAAAGAATACCGTCGCGAAACAACCACAGCGTTGTGTTTCGCCGTGTGGTTGAGAATACTGGAAGTCCAATTCCTCCCTCTCCCCAACCCCTTACCAATCCTTATATCCGCAACCCTTATCTCCTAAAGGCGGGCAAATTTATCAATTTTTCAATGCCCAAATCCAATTTAGTGATAAAATTACAAATAGGTATAGAAAACGAAATCTGATAGTCTTTGTATAAGTTATTAAACACGACATAAAACCGTAATACGAATATAAAGAACAACTATTGTTTATTTGTTAATGATAATGTATTGTATATTTATTATTGCAGAAATTATATATGTAGTATATATTATTTATATTAACATATTTAGGTAGTATTTATTTTGTAGTTACATACTAAATATTTTGAGTATATATATTTGCAAAGTCGTTGTATGTTATTTATTCCTTATAATAATTACACATGCCTATATTTTCGCCGATTTCCTATTTAACCCTAAGGTTGAATGGGAGAGAATGCCATGTGGCATTAATGTCCGCCTTATGTACCATCACTTGTTTTGTGTACATTAAAGTTTAAATAAATAAATAATGTGTAAGAATCTAGAATAGACTAATAATAAAAAAGTATAGCGGGTGTCCATGGGCAGAGCCGATTACTTACGATCAAGTTATCAATCTGCTCTTCTGCCGACCTATTACATAAAAAGGGTATTGGAACCACGGCTCGATCTCGGAGGTGATATTTTCGTTGTACTGTGCCACCATAAGCCCGTGTTAACATTTTGATTCGACTTTAACAATTTTTAAGCCCTTAACGTGGCTTGAAACGAGACGGGTTACCTCGTCAAACAAAACCATGTATATATCACTTAAAAACAACTTACGGCGGGTTGGGGATCGTCCCCCGGAGCGTCACGCTCACGGTCAGCTGCAGCACCAGCATCGCCAGTGGCGCTGGCACCGCCTCCCCTCCTTTCCTCACCTTCCACCAGCGCCAGAAGACGAGTCAGTTCCTCTTCATCGGCTATGCGCAGAGGAGTCTTCGGACCCACAATCGCAATGGACACATTCTGGACAAAAAAAAGGTAAAAATCAGTGTCAATTAGGTGTATCTAAATCTATACGTATATCTTTTTCTGTTGTATTTACTATTCATGAGAAGGTTATTATCTAAGAAAATATTAGAAAAGTAGGTAAACATTGGGTAAAGTGATCTTTTCGTTTTTTATTTTATTTTATTTTTATTTTTAAACTATCTCGCTAATAATAGCGAGAAGTTCAGGTTTCCTCACGACGATCTCCTTTACCATAATAAAAACCATAAAATAGACAATATCCTACCTTGGTGTTAAGATCCACTTCGTTAGGCAAGGTATCCCTCAGAGCCCTAAGTCCGTGAGCCACCAACTCCTGAAGATCACAGTCCAGGAAAGAAGACAGATGTTTTTCTAAGTAAGTACGAGCTGATTGTGACCGAGCTCCTATGGCCATCGCACGGCAGTCGAAGAAGTTTGCTGATGGGCAAGTCTGGTAAATATGTGGTCCTTGATCCTGAAATAAAAAAAAATACAGTTTAGAAACTATAAGGTATCGTAGGAGCAAACTAACCGTGTAATTAAAAGAAATCAGGCAGCAGAACTTTCTGAGAAATGTTAACCTTTTGAGGACACAAAACTCTGAATTTGTTTCAGCATTTCTTCTCATAGTAGCCAGATAAGAAAATACTGGATTTCTCTAGATCTTTTTCAATAATGTTATGTATAAAATCACTTTTTTTCTACAATTTGGCAATTAAGAGGTGCAGGCATACCTATTGACCAAAACTTAATAAAACTATTTTTTTTATTAAGCTTTTTTAAAATAGAGGCAACCATGTAAATGGGCAACACCAAAGACCACTAAGAGCCTAATTTTCAAGGTGTACACTCTTATCTTAAAGATTTGAAGGTTGCATCAATTCGGAAATACTACTGCCAAAAGATTATTGCACAGTTCCGGCCTATTCGTAGCAATGTATTTATTTCAATTAGACCATTATCACGTTAAATTATCAGCCTAGGATTGTCCACTGCTGAGCAAACACCGCTTCTGTCACGGAGAAGATTTGAGCATTAGTCACCCTGCTTGCTTAAGGTGGATTGGCGAATTCAAACTTATAATTAGAAAATTTTAAGTCCAGGTTTCACGCAGAAATGTTCGTAAAAAACACACGGCTGGTTGTCTCCCAAACATCTTTATGATGTGGATGAAAGTGCTGTTGTTTGGGTAGATGGGGAGAAGATGCGGCCTGCCAGCAGCACTGAATCAAATCATGCAATTGCATGGAGCACTCTCTGTGGTATAAGATGCACAGCGAGGACATCCTTACACAGTAACAAAGTGTAAAGGCGACTTAAAACATCCCAACAGACAACCATTCAAACAGCTTGCAAATGTATGCAGTAGAGGGTATTGCACTGAAGAAGCTCGTACAGGAATGCCCCCACCCAAAGAAGGGTACAGAATTCCATATGTATGTATGTATACTCATGATAAACATTTACAAATTGTGACACAACAACCCATGTACTTTACTCAAGAAACACCCGGTTTCTGAAAGGCTTGTCAATGCTAAAATTAACTTATCTCCTGTTCAATCACAAAAGAGACTGACCTCTGAGTTTGTTTCGGCATTTCTTCTCAGAGTAGTCAGATAGGAAATGCCGGCTTCATCTAGTTTTTCACATATAATTTGACGTGTAAAAGTGCCGTGTTATGGCCTATTTGCAAAAATAAATTCATTGTTTCAAATCTCTTGTCAAGTCATCTGATTGGTTGTTGACAAGAGATTAAATTGATTTTAACATTGACCAGCCTTTCGGAAACCAGGTGTAAATCTGGTTAATAAAAAACAAAAGAAACTGAGGCTGACTGTATACTGAAAAGTTTTCCATAGTACAGTACAGCCGACATATCTTGGCGAGTCTGAAGTTAGCCGTTTGTCTGCGCAATGGATCTTTTAGGAACAAAATTGTGTACTGCGCAGCTAATCGGCTAAGTTCAGACTCGCCACAATACGTTGGCCGTGTTGTACATTAATTACACATAATATTGGTCTTGTTTGTAATGATCCTTCTTACATTTCTGATCTGATCTTTTGCAATTAAGACACCAATAGGTTTAACATTTTAAGAACTGTACTGTACTGTACTGTACTGTGTACTGTACTGTGTACTGAACTGCAGCTACAAACGATGTCGAGCGACGTCACTACATTGTGTATGGATATGACTTACGTTCTGACACCAAACACAAGTTGTTCAGCGAGTGGGATGCAGTGTGGGCAGAGTCCTCCAAACGGAAGGGTACCTATTACGCAAATATCCAGTCCGGCATCCGGCGGAAGCCTTGGTTTTGCAGATACCCTAGGTTTTCCCGACAAACTGTTGCGCCCTTATGCAGACTTAGACTCGGACACTGCTGTAGTCCGGTATTCCTCAACAAGATCCGTGTTCGTGACAGCTCGCTGTGCGAATGCGGTCTTGATGAGGGGACCTTAGATCACATATTCTTTTCCTGTTCCCTAAATTCTCAGTCCTCCGACCTGTATCAAAAGCTTCCCAGCCTCCAAATCCCTCTCCCAATTAATTTCCACTCCCTACTAACCTTTTTTTCAAATAAGTTGATAAAATACCTTTCCCAATTTGTCTCCCAAAATAATATCAAAATATGATGGTGTGTGATATAAATTATAATGTATATACCTATCTCCTTGTCTATTGTATACCCTCTCCCTATGACTGTCTATGTTTAATTAAAATTCGTATAAATTAATTGTATATTTATCTATGTTAAATGTTTACTAACCCAAGTGTGTTGTCTTTCTAGCTACTAACAATAAACTACCGCAAAGTCAATGTTCGACGGGTCTTAAAACTGCCGTCACCCGTCACAACTCGACACTGGCAGAATAGTCGACAACATTGGAGACTCAGTTGCCATTAAGGAGAAAAAAAAAAAAAAAAAAAAAAAACATTTTAAGAAAAATCTGATGGGTATGCTACAATTAGTGTATTTTTAAGACTTAAAACAATATCAAGCTACATGAAGGACAATAACACAGCCAATATTGTCAGTTACCTTTACTTTACAATCACCAGTTAGGTTGCTATGGTAACATAAAAGTTCTACTTACATCGTAGCCAGCTACTAACAGTCCAACTCCTAAAGGCCTCTTGTCGTACCTCTGCGTACAAATCTGCATCTTGTTACCAACGAGACCAATGAGACGGCCAACGGGCATTGGTGCGTCATGTGCATACTTGTGGTTCAGGCATTCAGTGCGCATGAAACGGCTGAAAGTAATAAAGTAATAATAATAAGCTGAAAAGTTTGTTTGTTTGAATGTGCTAATTGTCAATAATTTTTTGTTTGTTAGTCCATTTATCGAGGAAGGAAGGGGGAATCTTTATATATAAAATTTTAGTGTCATGTGTTTGTCCGGAACGGACTCCTAAACTTCTAAACCGATTTTAAATTTGATTTGCATTCCGTGTGCATTTTGATTCAATTTGAAAGATAGGTATGCTTACATCTCAATTTATAGTCACAATATTATTTACCTTAGCCACTACCGCGCGAAAATAGCTATTATATAGAATAAAATTAAACAATGGGCAGAAATCCATGTTTAATTTTATACACATGATAGAAACAGTAAAACTAAAGGATTTCCAATGTTAAGACTATTAACTAGGCAAGCCAGTCTAGTCTCAGTGCTTAATTAATATGTTTTTCTAATCTGCACATCAAATGTGTTAGTAAATACCATAAAATTTAATTAAACTTCAAGTCAGACCTGTCCAATCAAAATTCATTCAAGTAACCCTCAATTTTATTGTTATTTACTGAAGAAGCTAAACAAAAAAAAAATGTGAAATCATAATTTAAGGTTTTTAATACTTACCAATAAGTTTGTTATCTCATTTCATTAAAAAAATATAAGTACTTACAGCTAAATTATTTACCTCAACATTCTAGCATCAGCAGTCAAACCAGAGATAGAGATGCCGATGTGCTCATCAATGGGAATAATTTTCTTCTGGTAAGCGGACAACTCACTCACAGCCCTTTTAAGAGCAATGAGGACGGCATATTGTCTGTTCTTCAGCCCTACGGTAGCTGAACCAAGTTTGACAGCCTCCATGGCGTACTCCACTTGGTGGAGCCGACCCTGAGGGCTCCATACTGTGACATCACTGTCATACTGATTTCTGAACTGAAAATAGTAATTTGAAATGACTATTTAATCTGGCTGTTTGGATGATTCCTTTGTCTTAAGAGAAAAATATTAAAACTTTAGATGTTGGTGCATAAGCTACAATACAAATTATGGAAATTAAAATTATGAACGCCAAGTTGTTTTACTTAGGTTATGATTCCACATAATCAATGTTTAAGTGACAAATTAAGTTTGAATTTTTGTTCTTTACATTTCATTTAAAGAATTTCAGCATAAGTTAATGTTTTCATATATGTACTAACAGAAACAATGGTGAAATATCAATTGGCAGCCGCGATGACGGCGCAAATTTGAAATTTTTGGAGTTAATTCCGATCATAATTTACCGTTTTCGGACATAAAATGATATTATGATTAAAAATAAAACGGGCTTACCATGTTTAAATTAAGTAATCGAAGTAAATTTCACTAACAATTAAGTTTTCGCTTCAAAAAAGAAGCCGACGTGAGTCGATGATGAATGAAATTTAAAACGTCAAAGTCAATTTTAGCTTTGTCAAACAAGCCAAAATTATTGTTGCCACAATACAAAATGTGTACCTACTGTAAATCCTATTAACGTACGTAACCATTTTTAAATTATAAATGGATATCATCTCATTTTATCAAGGTTGAAAATCTATAACATTGAATATTCTCAATAATAAGTAGGTAGCCAGTTGGAGTGTTAATTTTATATTCAATTATTGGGTATATTTGTTCAAGGTAAGTCTCCATCACTGAAGTGTTTGAAAACGTTGACAACAGATGGCGTTACGTGTGCATTCAGAACTAACTTTTTGCTGCAACAGGTTTTTATTAATATTAAGTTTACAATCAAATCGTTACTAACATTATAAAGGTCAGTTGATCCTTTAAACTCCATAACGTTAAGGTTAAGGCGCTCGCTTCTTATTAATGATGAATGGGTTCGAAACCCGACAAGTACCTACCATTGTGACATTTTCTGAATTACTTGCTATAATATAATCATTAAACCGACCGTACCTGCTGATATACGGTGAAGGAAACATCATGAGAAAACCAGGACTTATATTTTCAAGCGTGAAGCCTAAATGCTCAAACCCTCTCGGTTCAGTGTGAGAAAATGCCTTTGCTCAGAATTGGCACTTATAGTCGGCTGATGATGTGATGTGAATCTTCATAAAGTGAGTCCGAGACCCCGAGAAAGTGAGTCAGTTCTAGAGGAAACGACGTTCACGTTTGTGGTCATTGAACAAACATCGTTTTCTCGAGAACTTAGTCATAATATAGATACTGAAATGAGTGCACCATTAAAAAAAAGAAATTGCAAAACAGGTGAACAGACAAACTGAACTAAAATGCTACGCTACCTTTTTATGTTTTAAACATTACAAATTAGCCTTTATTGTTATTTATAATAAAAAGGCCATTTTAGGTAGCTACCTACGATAATTTATTGTTCTGTGTGTGCCCTTGCCAACATTAGTAATGTGTGAACAAGTACAGTTCATCAGTTAGGAGATGATCTTGACAAATCTAACTTTTGACGTGACGTAGGTACGTGAGGAGTCCAAAAAAGTCACCATTGTGTTTGATCCTGAGAAATTACTTAGAATTGTAACTACCTACCTACATGAAAATAATATACACACAAAGCCAAATTATTTTTTGAGAATTATTATACCTATCTGTCCTATCTATTTAATCCCTCATTAAATCCTTAAAGTTAGAGTGCAGAGGCGAAGGCGAACAATTAAAATTTTTACACCAGATATGTTATAATTTTTATATATTTACCTAAAGGTGGGGGGGAGATGTATATGTCTCAGCCGGGGTTGTCGGTCAAGTAAAATAATATACTACCTTTCCAGGCTGGAGTAGGAGAAATAAAGGGGGGAGGAAAACAGAAATAAAGAGAAAAATTATTAAGGGGGCCTGGGAATTCGACGCAGTGGATGGGCCACCGGCTGCCCTGCAACTGCAACGTGCTGCGGGTTCGAACCCCGCTCAGAAAAATTACTCTTTGTGTGATCCACATACTTAATTATTGATATTTGTCTGCAATAATATTATAATTAAAAAAAGTGTAAATAGGTTACAAGCGCTCAGCAGGTGATACATTAAAATGCGGTTAACTATATATTTCTCTTTTTCACTCGCGTTTATTGAATCATGCCATCTCACTTTGACGACTAAACATACGAAATGTTCATGTGTGCATCAGTGTGTCGTTTGAGAATTTTGTTTAGGTAGCCTATCTACACCATTTAACTTATAATATCATTGTTTGTCTGTGTGTGATGCGTTTGTGAAAATGTGTGTTTGTATACGCACATTAAGTCAAAGTCAAAGTCAAAATCATTTATTCCAACTAAACCATAAATAGGTACTTTTGAAACGTCAAAATAGAGAATTAGTCTGTCAGTCTGTTCGTGAGTGAAGCTAGGTCTACACTTCATTTCTTGTGAAGTGTGTCTAGACTTCATTTTAACTTATTAATTAAATTGCAAAATTTTACTATATCTCTAGATCTTAATGCTGTATCTTAATGCAAAACACACTAACACGCAGAAGAAAAAAAAAATGTAGGTAGATGCGTCTACAAATACTTTTTATTGGATAAGGCGGTAAATAAGCAGTCAGTTTACCTGATTATAAGAAATCAAATGTCAAATATCAAATAATCAAATCTTGGGATTATTGTTTCAGTTATTTAAGAATTGAGAAGTGATGTGGATGGCCTCCGTAAACCTCCGTTTTTCGCCAGTTTTCTGTGAAGCCATGATATTAAGGAAAAAGAATACTATTATTATTTTATAAACAAAAAAAAAAAAATATGAAAAATGTGACTTTCTTTAGTAGGGGTTCAAAATACCTATTACTTCATCCGCAATGCGTTCCAATTTACGGTATAAAGATCACACTGATTCGTTTTTTGTGAGAAACCACTTAGCTTTGTGAGTTGATTGATTGATTCCGTAGTTTTTGCGTTAAATGGAACGTTTGAATGTTTTCTTCTGTTTTAGTGATCTAGAAGAATTATTCTTTTAAGATGTTAAATGAAAAGTCGGTCGAATCGATAGCGATCGAGCTAGTGATAATTTTTCAGCTTGGTTCTTTTAAAAAGTGGTGGCTCTTAAAAACTACTCAGAGCTATGAAAAAAAATATCAGAATATGTTTTTTATGCTCGTGCGCTATAAAAATAAGATTGTATGGAAGTTTACTAAGAATAATGATAAAGACTCTCGGCCAACACCGAAGGAACGCAAAAAAGTTTCCTATTATTATGATGACTTTTGTCTGATGATTTATTATGATGATTGTGAATGAATGGATTATTTTGTGACTATATTATTTATATTACTAGCTACTGTCGCGCGGTTTCACCCGCTGCTCGGCTCCATTTGATTGTAGCGTGATGTTTTATAGCCTAGGTATAGCACTCAAGAACATTGTAGCTATCTATCAGTGAAAAAATTTTTGCAATCCGACCAGCGGTTTTAAGGATTACCCCTACATACAAACTTACAAGTTTACCAATTTTACCTCTTTATAATATTAGTATAGATGTAAAATTCCAACACAACGTTTATTGTAAATTAATAAATAAATGTATTGAAAGCTTTTTTTGTTTGTTAGGTTAGCGGTTTCCGTAGCTTTTTTTTTTTTGAGGGGAAAATCATCAAATGACTTCTCCCGCCCAGGGCCGGACGGAAGGGAGTGTCAGACTCTTACTGACTAAAAACCCACCTGTTCCTTCTCCTGCTCTGAGCCGAGGTCGCGGTGCCTCATTGCGCCTACCCCGCAACCCCTGCTGAACATCAGCCCTTTAGGGCCCTGTATGTGGTGGTCTATTGGCTCTTTGAGGCGCGCGCGGAACGCTACGCGCCGTACGCTCGGGCCTGGTTCTGGTCGAGCGGCGAGCTGCCCTTACTCGCCGACCACAGACCAGAGCGAACAAAGTATACATATAAGACTAGAAGCACTCATAACGTCGTGTGTAAATGTAGGTAATTTGTTACAATAACGTTAAGTAATTAATTAATTACCTACATTTTCATTTTTGGGAAAGTCATCAAATTGCCCGCAACTTTTGCAAATTAAAGAAACATAAATGATTAAATGTTACATAATTTTGTCGTGTAGCAAGTTCGAAATCTGGGAAGTACCAATGTGACTTTTCCGGCTCATAATGTAGGTACTTTCTATGATTATTTTTTTTCGGGAGGAAACCTGGACCTGTTTAATTATAAGTTTGAAATCGCCAGTCCCTCTTGAGCAAGCGTGGTGATTGATACTTAACCTACTCCTTATGAGAAGAGGCCTTTGCTCAGCAGTGGGCACTAATAGGCTGATGATGTGATGTGAAATCATACAATTTTAGCATCATATTCTGCACAATATCGAAAGAGCGAAAGGACCATTAGCGACGGGGCCCAATAAGACCGATGTTTAGCGACAGGAGAAGTCTCTGCCGCCTAACGTGGGGCGAGAGGGAGTGTGAGACTCTTACTGACTAAAAACCACCCGGTTTCTTCTTCTGCTCCATATTTATATTTATATTTTTTTGTCAGAATAATGTGACCAATTTTGCTAATTCTTTTTTTGTTGTGTTTTTTATTGTCAGGAAAATGGTCTTATCAAAGAACATAGTAGAAAAGCAGAGGGGAAGATTAGGAAAAAGTGACCCTTTCATAGCGAGATAGTTGGACCCGTGCGAAGCGGGGGCGGGCCGCTGGTCTACAATAGATCTTACATTTATTACATGTTCAAATTATTCTACCGTTTTCGGTGTACAAATGTGACAAATTTTAATAAAAAACATTTAAATTGAATTTAAGAATTTAAATATCATGTCCGCATTATTCTACCGTTTTCGTTATACATACTTATAGACTACAGAATATATAATGTTAATGTTGATAAATTAAAATAAAATGAATTTGTGAATTGCAATATAAGTATAGACAATAAATAATCCAGGCCGAAGCTGCTGTAACTTACTACGCTTGCACCCCCAAATAAGAATCTGTATTTGCAGCATCGAGTACAATATTAATAACGAGTCAGGCAACAAGACCCTTATGGACTACATTTTAGTCTTATAAACTAAGATTTATATAATGTGTAGGGACACATAGGCCAGAGATGGTGCATCGTTTACATATGACTGCGCCATTTTTGGAAAGGACATATATTTTTGACGATTTAGATGTGCATTCATCTTCCATCTCAATAAACTTTAATTGAAAAAACGTTGCCCTACGCTATGACATACTGATGTTTTGTATATAGGTATATAACACATACATAATTACATCTCATGGACGTGTGCATTTTGCCCATCCTCCTACGGCGCTCAGACCTGGTCTTTGACAAAACTTCAGAAGTCCACACTCAAGATTTGCCAGCGAGTCATGGCGCGCAGCATCTGAGGAGTTCGATTAACGGACAAAATAAGGAAAACCGTACTGCGCTCCAAAAATCAAATCGCTGACGTTGGTCAGAAAGCCACAGGCCTCAAGTGGAACTGGGCTGGATGTTTGCCGCATGTCAGACGAGCGGTGGGCAAAATTTATTACCGAATGGAGCCCACACAACGCTAATAGACAGCGAGGCAGACCCAGAAGGAGATGGTGGGACAAACTTGATGTCTTCGACGAGGATTGGCCGCAGAAAGCTTTGTGTAGAAAGGAGTGGAAGAAGGGTAGGGAGGCCTTTGCCCTGCAGTGGGACGATAACGGCTAATAATAATTACATCTAGACATTACACCAACACCCGGAAAAATAATTTGTTGACTACATACGGGGTCGTTCTGAGCGGGAATCGAAGCCACGACGCGTTAACTAGCCACTCTATCTGCCATTTTAGATATCGGTTTTTAATCTACATCAAATAATAAAATGTAATTATAATCTAAATAATTATGAAACATACTTAAATTAAACGACAAAAAATAGTTTTTTTTTGTTTCAATCGTAGGTATATTTTTTATCAGAGACTGGGCAGCGCAGCGGTCCCAAAGATTACCCCAAACTTACCAATTATAAATTTTACCTCTTTATAATGTTAGTATAGAGTTTGGTTTTGCGTGATATCAATGATACGGTTGCCAGTAGTTCACTAACCCTGCTATAGACGGTCAAATCTTAAGGTTTAAATCTCCTTAATCATAGTCTTGAGTTAGTAACGTCTTGTTAAAGGTTTGTAAGACGATGCGGTGTCGGTTTACGGCCGACCGGCGCCGGTAATGTGACCCTAACGGCAACTTATGACCATTACAACCTTACAATTGTTATTTAAACCACTATCGAAATATGATGCCTTTTAAAGGCTGTTAACGAACTTCGCAACTGTAAGAGTGGGAGAGCCATACTTCGGCACGAATGGGTCGGCTCGACCGGAGTGATACCACGGCCTCACAGAAAACCGGCGTGAAACAACCACAGCGTTGTGTTTCGCCGTGTGAGTGTAGTTACCAGAGGCCTTATTCTTCCCATCCCTGAATCCGTCCCCGATCCTAAAATGTCTTAATCCATAATCCCCAAAAGGCCGGCGTTGCACTCGTAACTCCATTGTTGTCGCAGATGTCCATGGGCGGCGCTGATTGCTTACCATCAGGCAATACGTTTGCTCGTTGGCCGTCTTATTACAAAAAAATAAGGATTCGGATGTTGATTAAATTTTTATTGTTTTTTGTATTGTATAGAATAAGTGACTAAATTAGTAAGTATGTTTAATTATAAAAATTGCGGTCAGTAAATAATTCTATGTCTATCTATTTAAGCTAAACGTCTCTTAAACTTTTGTTTGAGTTCTTCTCATACAAAAGGCAGTATGTACCTACTTGGGGACTTAAAACAAAATTTTCGATTAGGTACTTTTCTAATCTGTCCGAAGAAAGGTAGGTAATGTGGAAAACTTATTTTATTAATGTGTCTTGTTGGCACGGATGTTAAAACGCCTGTTTTTCGCATATGAGGTGGCGGTTAGAATGTGAGGTTTTCTAAGTTATTAAGATTTTTATTTAGTTTTGTTAGACTGTTTGCTGGTTGTTTCAAGGAAAACATATTTTTTTAATGTAATATGTCGGCAAACGAGCAAACGTATTACCTGATGGTAAGCAATGAGCACCGCCCATGGACACCCGAAACACCAAAGGAGCTACAAGTGCGTTGCCGACCTTTTAGGGATAAGAGTTTTGGAGCTATTGGGCCTCCGGTAACCTCACTCACACGGCGAAACGCCGTTTTTCATCGTGGGGCGACAGGAAGTATCAAATTCTTTAAGGCAAAGTCAAAATCAAATCATTTATTTATAGGCAGTTTTGAACTGAACGTCCATAAAAAAATTCAACTATCTATCTGTCTGTCTGTCTGTCGATCTGTCGTCTAGTGAAGCTGTTTACTTACTGACTAAAACCATCCAGTTCCTTCTCCTGCTTCGAGCTGAAACGTGGTGACCACGGGTGCAAGTGCAATAAGCTGCATATGCTGCATCCGCGACCGGTTGAAATCGTGAGAAAACCTAAACTCTAATTATAAGTTTGAAATCTGCAAGCCGTGTTCAGCAAGCGTGGTTGTAGATAATGCTCAAACTTTTTTTGTGTAGGAAGAGGCCTTTGCTAAGCTATGGGATAGGCTGATGTTGCTATGTGAAATTCCATAAACTGAGTCTTAGACACCAATTAATTACCTACATAAAACAACGTTCACTTTTGCGATTATTGAAGAAATTTTTTTTTCAGATGGACTCATTTTTACTACAAAAGTAGAAATGTTTGCAGACAGCCTAAAAGGAAAATAACAATTAAGGGTACCTACTCATTATTTTTGAGAATCTTCTGGATACAAATGGTTCTGTATGTCTTAACGACTTAAGAATTTGACTGCACGGTTGATGCGGTGGCTGGGCAACTGGCTGCCGTGCAACATGTCGCGGTTCGATTCCCGCACGGAACAACTCTTTGTGTGATCCACAAATTGTTGTTCCGGGTCTGAGTGTGATGTGTGAATTTGTATGTTTGTAAACGCCCCCAGAGACACAGGAGAAAATCCTAGTGTGGGGCAACGTTTTTTTTTACAAAATAGAACGCTAAATGCCACTATTATGGCGTACTTTTTCGCTTCGTACTTAAGTACAGGAAAGCCAAGTTTCGGTCCAAATGGACCGGCTCGACCAGAGTGATATCAAGACCTAACAAAAACTCGGCGTGAAGCAAGAGTTACGTTATATTTCGCCGTGTGAGTGAGGTGTCCTCAACCTTTAAATCCCTTATCCTTACATCCCTAATAGCCAACAAAAGGTCGGCAACGCATTGTATTAACTCCTCTAGTATTACGGGTGTCCATGGGCCGCGCTGATTTCTTACCATCAGATATACCGTCTGTTCGTTTGCCGGTCTATTACGTAAAAAATAATAATAATAATAATATGAGTTGAAGGAGACTCGGGGGAAGGATGTATCTCAGTAAGATGCTGGTAGGGGTCTTGACCGTACTTCCGGGATTGCTCTGATAGCCGTGGGATACCTCTCCTTCCCCAAGCAGCTCAACGTATGTTGCCCCCTTGTCGCTACATGCTAGCGGCCGTTTCCGGGGGCCCATTAATTGAGTTTGCCAGTCACCCCCTGCCTGTTTATCCGTATGTATCAATATTGGTCAGGGGCAGGGGCCATAGTATTTCCATAGTTATCATATTCATCAGTCCATAGCAACCCATACCCATAACCCTTTAAATTTTTACCACATTTCGCAATAGTCCTGCATCAACCGGGGATTGTCCTTGGGTGCACTTTCATAGTGCATACAGGGATAATTGCCGGCTGATGTCCCATTTCACTTATATTAAAGTTGTTCAAAGGGCCTCTGCGAGTTGGCTTCGGCCCCTCGTACGCCTTCCAAAAGTCCGGGACCCTGTGGTCCCGTGAGTGGAAAGGAACACACATAATAATAATAATATTTTGATATAATTCGATTTAAGGATCTTGAGTTCATCAATCGCATGAACAACTATTCGAGTAAGGCACAGTGACTAACAACAGATCAGCATTAAGTGAAGGTTAGATCAAGTCTTGGCAAGGTGCCAGGTCCAACTATGAATGAGCTACCCACGTTTGAACTCTATCTACCCCATATAAACCTACGTGAAATACTGAAAAACATAACATGACGAATATATTTTGATTTATTACCATTTTAACCTATTTCGTTACAATAACTTTTATAAATTAGATTTTTTATTATATAAGATAAGTTTGACGGTTGAAGGAATGAAAATCGGTTTATATATTATATACTTAATGTAATATTTGTTATTATAATATATTGAATAGAGTTTGAGAGTATGGTCTTACTAGCAAAAAATGGTCAGTGGCGTCAAGCAGAAAAAAAATCGTTGAAGTCTTTTACCTGACATTTAACTTAATAAAATTATGGTTTAGACAGCTTTAATACTTTGCAAATAATGTATGTTATTTAATTCCTAGTAAGTCCTAGTAGTATTTTTTTCTTGAAAATGAGGTTAAAACCTTTTTGAAGTGCTATTTTTTATGTTTGATACTAAGAAATTAATATCGAACCGAGTCGATAACCTAATTCTTAATTATCAGATTATCCATAAAATGCATTTTATTTAACTCCCAGATGGATTCTATATTTGTGTCATAATAAAAAGATTATTTCGTGAGAATTATCGTCAAACCTATTTTAAGTATGCAAATTGATGATAGTGCTAATTGCAATAGTGTTGTTAAAATTATCTATATTTAGAACATAAGTAATTTAAAATTGAATTAATAGATCTATTTAAATAGGTCAATAAAATTCTAAAATTAAAATATGTTTAGTAAGACGATAATGGTGTTTTGACTTTTCTTCACGATTGTACCAAAACTGTTACAAGGAGGGTAACGAATGATATGTATGACTGTACTTTCATCCCACGTTCCCATGATCCGTGGCAAAAGTGACGTCACGGCTGATCAGTGCTACGAGATAAAATGCTACGCACGCTCGCTACAGCCACCAAAACCGTAGAACCATCGCTACGGCGTAGACGCGCTACGAACCACCCGCGTAAACTTTGAACGAGCTTTAAGTGTTTTCTGGTATGTGTTTTTGTATATTTTCTTGTGTATATAATATATTATATAGTATTTTATACATAGTGGTTAAACAGTGTATGAGAGTTTGTTGTTTTAAAAACTTTATTTTAAAGTTGCATTTAAGAAACAATCAAAATCGAAGAAGTACTTTTCAAATGGCTTTTTAAGTTTATATACGTTTATACTTTATAAACGCTACAAAATACGTAAGTAAAAACATATGCAAAGCAAAATTTCGAAAAAAAAAACAATGATGCGTCAGTAAAATTACTTTTTAAAAAAGAATATAAAAAATATAATGAACTGTTAAATGTTTTATGAACACAAAATAAATATAAATTCTGGATTACATTTTTCTTTAATAAATATAAGTTAAGTAGGTACATAAAATTTTGTTATATCCTATTTTATAGCTCTAACAATACAATAAAATAAAAGAACAAAATCATAATATTAATTCGAAATTTAAATTTAATTTTATTACGCAACGGTTTTCATTTGTCTATAGCATTGAGAAAGTCGAACAAAACTCAGCACAATTTTTATTTGTAAAAAAAAAATGTTGTATAAGTGATTCTATGCTCTGCCAGACCTTTGCGTATTATATAAAATTAACTTTTTATTAAGTAAATAATTATGTACATACAATGCAACGCTCACTTTTTACCAGTAACGCTATCACGCATTACAATTTTAAACCTTCATATTGAAGAACGATAATCCAAAATAATGTTTTTTTCTATTTCTGTGACTAAATATTAGTATTACACTGTTCTCACATATTGGAACCAACTTAGTAAATGTAATCAAGAAAGAATTCGTTTGTGAAACTGGTTGCAATACAGTAAATTCTTGCTAGTTGTTCACCATAGGAATTTTGCACTTTGAAACTAGCAAATAGCTTCTCTAGACGACAGAACGACAGATTGATACTTTTAAACTTTTATATTAAAATATTACTATTATATTAATTTAAAAATCATTTGACTTTGAAATTGATTTGAAAATAAAATAATAATATTTGTTTTGTTTCTGAGCCCATAACTACAGTGTATGAAATTTCTGGTGGGTTATTGTTCTCCCCTAGATACTAGGGAAAAGGGGGCATAATCTCCATGCTTGGCAGATGAGTTGAAGATTATATAATTAACAGATCACTAAGCTGAATTTCAAATCAAGTACTTATAATTTTATCTCCTGTAAAATAGTTTCAGTATATTCGTTACAAGGACAGTCAGCTTGGCATATAGCCAATGAAATTCAAGGTTTTCATGTATCAATCCTGTCGTTTACCGTGGTTAGATTCTACAGTTGTAAACTGAATTTCAGTGGTGTTTTCAACCTTCTATCCTCTGTTTCTAATTGGTGAAAAGCGAGTATTTATTTATTTATGTATAAATTTTATGTTAAATAGAGGTACATAGGTACTGCAAATTCTATTTTGAAAATTTTCATTCAACGAAATGATAATTATAAAGCAGTGTACAAGAATAATGTGTAATGCTTTCCTCTTTAAAAAAAAGCTGTTTTTCAGATCTTATCACTACATAGACATAGTATAAAACAAAGTCGCTTTTCTGTCCCTATATTCCTATGTATGCTTAAACCTTTAAAACTACGCAATGGATGTTGATGCGGTTTTTTAATAGATAGAGTTATTGAAGAGGAAGGTTTATATGTATAATAGTATCCATTAAATAGTGGAGAAAATTAGTATCAGTTTTGCACTCTTGTAAAGCCTGGGGTTCGACGGTACTATTTGTTTTACAAGAAGGATCTTTGTATCCTTTTTCACTTTGATCTGAAGATTTTACCAAGTAATCCGAATCTGGCACATAATAGTCATAAAATAAATAAAAATGGGCAATGCATTTGGCACAATGGGTAGTAACTTTGGTATTTGGTTTCTTCGAGTGATAATATCCTGACTTTCCCAGTGAATCTCTAAATTTGTTACTCGTATATAGGTATATGTACATATCCGTAAATTCGGCAGTATTTTTAATATCGAGTTTTGCGCTAGCATGTATGTAAGATTTTTCTATTAGAGATACTTACCTATATATTAGTTTTTTATTGTTTAAAAATACCTTAAGTAACATCTATTACTTCTTAACAAAAATTTGAATGTCAGTTTTTAATCAACAATATCAAAATCTTCAGCTTCCATCCAGTTTAAGAATGAAAAAGATAAGCCTAAGAAATTGTGTAAGTCATATAAAATAGTTTCACAGCATTAAAATAAATATTAAATATGTCTTACCAGTCTGAGATATTGTCACGTACAATGAATAAAGCTAAGCTCAACAGCTTTATTTATTCACTAACTTTACCACTTGACTTTACTCGCAATCTTTTGCTTATTTTTTTTGTCTAATAACGGCGGTAAAAGTGTTTAACTTCGTTTCGTTTCAATCGTACACTCTTGTCAGAGTGGTCATGGTATGTCCTTGGTGGCTGCCTTTGCGATTTCTCTCCACATTTTCCTGTCAGTGGCATTCCTCGCGCACTCCACAATTGAGCTGGATGTCACTGATTTTAAAATGTCCATCCATCTAGTTGGTGACCGACCACGAGGACACTGACCCTCTATTCCACCTTGCACCACACCACCAATCGTTCCATTGAGTCTTCGCTTCGAATGATCGCATCGAATGCCTAACTGATTGGACATTTATCGAAATTAATTGTCACGAAATCTTTTCATAATTAATCAGTAAGACTTCTTATAAATACGTCACTACCTTCCACTTAACTTCTAATTACGCGAATTCCAATTAGGTTCGAGTAAATTCTTTGAAATCATTGATTTATTTTATTTCATTGAATTCGAAAAGTTATTTTTGAACGAATTAAATATTTATATGTAGATATTGGTGGTTTAATGAGTCGCTCAGTAATATATTTTAAGTTGAGTTCCCGTAATTAACAAAGAATCGTTTGCCCTTTTCAGTTGGTAGAAATTCTTGATGTTCCTTAAAGCCTAAGTTTCTCCAATTTCGTATCATGGATTTTGATGAACTAAAATTCTTACCCCATTAAAATTTATTTCAAGGAATTAACATCAATGGTAGACATATTCAAAAGGTAAATCAAATATCGAAAAAAATATTCTTCCGAATATTTAAATAGGTTAATAATATCTATGCTAATATTATAAGAAGGTAGTAAAATTTGTAAGTTTGTATGTATAGTATTGTTGACTGCCCTGTTGTCTCGGACCGGCTGGACTCTTTGGCATTGCGTAGGGATGTAGCGATTAAAAGGCCGGTAACGCACCTGTGATTCCTCTGGTGTTGCGGGTGTCCACGGGCGGCGCCGATCACTTACCATCAGGTGATACGTCTGCTCGTTTGCCTCCTACTCCATAAAAAAACTGTTGGGTCTAATTTTTGGAACCGATCTGTCTGGTTATCTGGTCGGAATTCCAAATTCTTTCACTGATAGTTAGCTACAATGTTCCTGAGTGCTTTATGCTATATCTAAATTATACTTAATTTGCGTATTTTAGTCAAGCTATCGCTTTAACCGTTACCATTTTTAAAATACCGGGATACATTTCTTTAATACACGTGTGGAGCCGCGGGCGTAAAACAGTTTATGTATAAATACATTGAAAATATCGTGACGTCTTTTTTTCTACAAAGGTTAACCCTCGGGGTAAAACAAACAAGAACAGAAGTAACATGTTGAGTTTATAGATATTAAAATATTACAACAGGATGTTTGATTATTATAATAATAACAAATATATCTTATTTAATAACAATCTTATACTTGTAGGTAATGCTTCCCACATATTTTCTCCTATATCGTGGGCTTTTTGTGAGGGGAAAATCATCAAATGAATTCTCCTGCCCAGGGTGGGACGGGAGTGTCAGACTATTACTGACTAAAAATCCCCCGTTCCTTCTCTTGCTCTAGGCCGAAGCTATGGTGGCTCATTGCACTTACCCCGCAGAACTTACCCCCCGGTGAACATCAGCCCTATAGGTTTTCGTCTGTAGTGGTCTATTGGGTCTTTGAGGGTTCGTTGGTTTGAGGTTCTATCGTAGGTTACAAATAAGTGGGTGTAGATTAAAAAAAAAACAAATGGTTTTGCATTGTTGTTTCTGGTCTGGAGAGTACCTAACAATGATTAGTGGATCACAGAAAAAAAATATTCTGTGCGAGATTAGAAATCGTGGCACTTGCTTAACCAAGGCATCAATGGTACTGGTACTGTCAAATGTCTCACAAAATTTATTTTAAATTACTTCAAAAACAAATGACCAGTAATTAATTATCAATCTTAGTTCCTGCTGTCCTAATACGCGAATTTTATTGCTTTTTAACCTGTTCCTTATTGGACTGTATTTACTTTTCTTCAACTTCAACGTTAAGGTATGATCTTCTGTCATGATTAAGTATTTAAAGACCCGTTTTTACATTTTCATCAAATATCTTGTCTTGTCCTGGGTGAGGCGAGATTGAGTATCAGAATCTTCCCGGCTAAATATCATCCCGTTTCTTCTCCTGCTTCAGGCCGATGCCATTATTAGAGGGGTCATTTTGACTCTCACACGTACACTAAGATCTTGATTAAAACTAGTACAGAAATTAACACCATTCAAAACTACTAGGAAAATCTATAGTCAATATTTCATCTTTTCATCTACTACTGAAGTAAAGCTCAAAGAACAGCAGTGTGATTCTGTAAGAATTCATTCTAAACTTCGAATCTGAATCCGCCGTGAGTAGTAGCACACTAGCGCTACACTTGCGAGTTGAACTAAATAGACAGCAACATTTTGATAGATAAAGTATGAGATGACGTTAAAAGCGACATTCTAAAATTTAATTTCCCCGTCACTTCGACGCTCACTTCGCACTCGAACACGATTCAAAATCAAACAAATTTTATAGAATCGACGTGCAGCAATACTTATAAGTCATGTAGTGTTGCGGGTATCAAGTGTACTCGTTAACTCATAAATAAAATGGAAATCACAAAATGTACACAC